CCGCCCTTCGACCCCAATGAATCGTTGCTGAGCTTTCATCCTTCATGTTACTGACATCGCCAGAAAAAAACACCATGCTTAACGATAATTCACCAAGAAAAGTGCTGGGCTTCAAACCTACCTAATTATTATGGTCCAATTTGGTCCACTTAGGCATTTCATGTTTTTGTTAAATATCCTATGCATTGCGAAGAAAAGTTGGATTTCGAGGAATCGCTTATTTCATAATTGTTGTGCTTACTTCCATTTCGAGTTAAAGTGTTTGCTGAAGAGATTCGAATGCCGGTTCTACCAAAAGATTACGGCGGAATCCTCTTGACCAGCTTTACTGGAACAGTCATGTTGACGCTATTTTCGAGGTAATCTCATTCGATTCAGGTGAAAAGGTGCTAAGATTTCGTTCATCTTGACTCGTTAGCTTGACTTTTGTTGTGATGATGATATCTTGCTCTGATGATATTTGTCATATGACGGAAAAAAAAGTTTAGCACCTTTTCACCGGATTCGAAGGAGATTACCTCGGAAACAGTGTCAGCATGAATGCTCCAGTAAAGCCAATCGACATCAGGTCAAGAGGAATCCGACGTCGCCTACTAGTGGAATCGACCTCTGAATCTCTTCATCAAACACTTTCACTCGAAATGGTAACACGCACTACGATGCAGACGCAACAACTGAGAATGTACCAAGTTCACGGTCTGATGCCGGAAATTATGATAACTACTATGACAGAGGACTTCGGACAAGATGCGTTATACTAAGTCCCTCTGACAACAAGACTAAATTGCGACAGCGAAGTCAACCTACTTCTATAAAGAGAAAATTAAGTCTAAATAATGCTTTTATAAAGTCATATAATAGTACCATTCGTCTAGCCTCAAAGTTGACCGACTCACGATTGTCTATGAGTCATGATTCGATTTACAATCCCACTGTATCCGTGTTGAGTGTTAAACTTGTCCTTATAAAACGCCATAAAGACTGCTCATAATCCGTGTGATCATGTCATTTCAAGCTGCGAAGAGAATTGGATAGAGTTGTGATCGAACAATCGTTTCTTCACTAATATCGCCAGTAAGCTGTATCATAAGTCGCGTGAAGTGTGAGTGTGAAAACAAGAATTCAGACAAAAGGCTGAGTTTCGCCTTCCTCTTTCGGATTCTGGTGAGGCTGAATTAGGAATCCCTTCAATCCGTCCTTTCAAACGAAATGAAGGGTACAACAAAAAATGAATATTTACTCAAAAGAGCACATCTGGGAAGCCTCTGATGTCGAGGGGTCGGTGAATGGCGACAAACCTAGAGTAGTAGATCTCAAGAGCCAGATCCTTCCAGTGCTTTTCGTCGGGTGGAACCACAGATTTGACGGCCAACGGGCCGGGCAATCGGGCCCAGGCCTGCTGACATGAATACACCACTCCGTATTGACCACGACCAATCTCACGACCAAGTTGCGGCAAGCCGTAGGCGATCAGGCTGCGCAGACTGGCCACCTCGAGGGCGTGTCTAGCCAGTCGAGGAGCATGCTGCCGGCGTATATGCTCCTGTGCTTCTTCCAACCGGCAGATGCGGCGTTCCACACTCTCTCTGAGGCGCCGGACAGTCTAGACCATGGATGCAGAGCAAGGTTGGAAATGAAACAAAGCTCAAATATGCACTTTAAGATACACGAGGACAATAGAGAATCGGGAAAAAGGAAGAGAAACGAGTAAAGGTAAGAAAACGTTTTGTACATCCCATAAAGATAAGGTATTTAAAAAAGTGTATCACAAAAGAACAACGAAAACCGGAGCAGAACACACTCAAGAGAGCTGT